TCCAGAGGGAATCTCTAGTACAACATCTGAGGATGACATCAGTGTCTTCACTATAGAACAGAACAGTTAGTACTCACATATCCTACAAACTATGATTGTAATCCACAATGTGCTTCTGGAAAAAAGTTTATACTACCTTAGCTTACATCATACTTCTCAGGCAACAAAACCCACCCTAGTTCAGTGCCCTGTGGGACCTGGAGTTTAAATTGGCAGAGCTGAGAACTGATGTCAGCTGGATCTTATACTCTGTTGTATTTCAGAGTGTAGTTACAACATAAGGAACTCTGATTTCAGGAATGGTGATTTTCACATAATTAGCTTTTTTAGACAACAGCAAATTACAGAAGCACTATCAAAGGTGTATGTCTCTTTCCCAGTGAATTATTTTCAGTCTACACTGTTTGTTAGGCTGTTTTAAAACCACAGTATCACAGCATAGTTGAGGGTGAAAGGAACTTCCAGTCCAACCTGCCTGCCTGAGGCAGGGTGTTATCTGCATCTGGTTGGTCAAGACTGTGTCCAGACAGATTTTATTATCTCAGGGACAAAGACTTCATCACCTCCTTGGGGATCCTCTTTCAGGGTCTGACTACCCTCACAATAAAAGCTTTATTTTTATGCCCAACTTAAAAAAACCCACAACTCCAAGCAATGGTTTTGTTTTTTTGGTTTTTTTTTTTTTCTTCCCCAGTTTTACACAGAGCTTAAAGATCTAAGCTAAAGAATTTAAAGTTGTTAGACCAATTTCCTGTCTTAATAATTATTTTCCCAAAATACTTGTTTTTCTTACATATCAGTCTGAAGTTTGTATCATTTATTTGGACTGATTATGTTATATACTGCATTATCAGTTGACAGTTGTTCTGTTCTTCACTGTGTTTAGCTTCCTGAATTTGCATAAATGCACACTGACCAGCAATTAAAATTGATCAGGAAAATGAAATAGTTCAACAGGAAAGGGTAAAATATCTCAACAAAATCTGGATTTTTTTCCTTCCAGTTTTAAGCATAATAGTGTGTTTTAACTGCTTCTGTTCAGACAGCACATTTCATTCTGTCTTTTTTTTTCAGGGAAAAAAGTAATGGTGCCACAGTGGTTATTTAAACAAAAGTAATTGCTTGGGCTGGCTGAGTTTATGAAACAGATGGAAGTATGCATTCAGGTGAAAAGGAGATACTCAGGGTGCTGCTGACTAACTGTGATAAAGGCTACACCTTCTCTGTACAGGAATATGCTGTATGTGGCTGTAGAGTCAAGAAGCTGTTTTATTATACAAAGTGATGGAAAAATCAGGTTTAACCAGGCCACCAGGTCTTTATCCAGAAAGGACATAAACACGTTCATCAGCTGAGCCTCCATGTTATTGGGGGTCAGTGTTGGCGGTTACAGGGCATGTGTTCAGTCGTCTGTTACAGCAGTGGAACTCCTGTAGCAGATCCTCATCATCCATTATCCTGATCGTACAAACCCATGTTATGTAATTCTTTTTTTGCCTAGTGGTGCCAAATACAAATTTGTCAAACATGTCAAAAGCATTTTCTCCTTCTTGTGCAGCTATCCTGTAATGTGTCCAGAATCCTCATAAAGGCAAACAAGCAGTGCTTCAGTGGCCCTCCCATTGCTCTCTTTCCCCAGAAAAAGAAAAGAAAGGACATGGAAAGGGCTGAAGTTCTGTGTGCCTTCTTTGCCTCAGTCTTTACTAGCAAGACTGGCCTTCAGGAATCTCAGGTCCCAGAGAGCAGGGGAAAGGCTGGAAGGAGATGTACCCTTGGTGGAAGAGGATCAGGTCAGAGAACACTTACACGAACTGGACATACGGTGGGTCCTGATGGGATGCACCCACAAGTGCTGAAGGAACTGACAGGTGTCATTGCAAGGCCACTCTTGATAGTCTTTGATTGATCGTGGTAACAGGGAGAGGTGCCCAAAGACTGAAGGAAAGCAAATGTTACTCCTGTCTTCAAGGACAGCAAGAAGGAGAACCCAGGGAACTACAAGTTGGTGGTCTCACCTTGATTCTTGGGAAGGTGATAGAGCAACTATTCTGGAAACCATTTCCAGGCGCATTAAGGAAACCATCAGGAGTAGTTAGCATGGCTTCGCCAAGGGGAAGTCGTGCTTGACCAACTTGATACATTTCTGTGATTAAATGACTGGCCAGGTAGATGAGAGGATATTGTCTACCTGGACTTTTCTCCCTAAGTTCCTCATAGGCAGGCTGTTGATGTGAGGGCTGGATAAGCAGAGAATGAGGTGGATAGAACAATGACTGAATGGCTGCACCCAGAGAGTGGTGATGAGTGGCCCAAAGTCTAGTTGGAGGCCAGTAACTAGCAGCATAGCAAGTCCTGTTTAACATCTTCATTAATGATCTGGGTGATGGAGCAGAGTGTACCCTCAGCAAGTTTGCTGGTAGCACAAAAATGGGAGGAGCCCTTATGTCAGAGGCTAATGGGCTATGTTAGACAATATTGTCAGCAGGTCAAGGGAAGTGATCCTTTCCCCATCTGGACACAGTCCTGAGGAACTGACTCTAGGTGGCTGTGCTTGAGCGGGGGGTTCGACCAGATGACCTTCCAAGGTCCCTTCCAGCCTCAACCCTTCTCTGGGTGCGAGTGCAGCAGTGTGTGCTTAGGATCATTAAAGCAGCTGGATGATGCAGCATCTAACTTCTAGGGCCTGGCCCTGCAAAACACAGCGTAGTACATGGCACAGGATGTGCGGGTTCTGTTGGTGGTGTGTGGGAGGATGAGGTGTGTCAGAAGACAGACTGTTGAACAGGTGCCAGTCTCAACAGGGAGCTTTCGAACATCGGTGCCCTTCAGCATGCAAGTGGCTAAACCAGTTAAAAGGAAGCACTGACACTTCCCTCCGTTTGTTTTTGTTCCTCTTGGGACCTGCAGCTTGAAGTGCTTTTCTGAGATCAGGCACCTACCTCTTTTCCTTCAAATAACTGAAGAGGGATATCTCTTTTTCCTTAAATACAGCAATGAGAAGGGAAGATGCTACCCTTCTTTTTATATAATAATTTAATGGCTAGATTGTTCTTTTAAAATCCAGTTCTTCAGTCGCAGAGGATTGAACAAATGGCTTCCATCTCTCTGAAAGGGCCCAACCATCAGCCTGTGAAGGTATTATGTATGGGAGTGTGTGTGAGGGGGCAAGTCTGTGCACCCGTTCAAGCTCTGTCTGGGTGCAGAAAACCCTGCAGGATTCGGAGGGCATGAGTGGAGGGAAGCCCGGGGCCTGCGGCAGGAAGTAGCCATGACTGGAACGGCCGTGGGGTGATCTCCTACCTCCTGGGAGAACGGTTGTGTGTATTTTCCATTTAACAGTGATTTGTATGCAGAAACAGACCACTTCTCACAGCTGACTGGCCTGCCTGCTGGGCTACTCACCTGCTCCGTCTATTTTCAGCCCATGAATCTTTTAATGAAAATGTCATTAACATAGAATAGGAAGCAATGTGGAACATGGAACACGATGGGAAGTAATGCAAAAACAGAGAAAAATGAGTGCCAGCAATCCAGAAGCCCAGAGAAAAAGCATTTAAAATTCCAGTAGTACCTTTGTCTTCCTTTTTCAAATTGTTGAATTTGGGATATAGATTTGACTGTGTGTGGAGAGTGGTGAAAAATAATTTTTTCAGTGTTAAAAATGAAGTAGAAAACTGTTCTTGAGGCATCTGTTTGGAAATTGATAGTAATTAATGCAAAATGGCCTTAGAGTTCACCCAAGATGGACATATCCTTAAGTGGGGGCACAGAACTGTGGTCCCCTTCATCTGTCCACTTTCATTCTTCTCTCTTAAGAGAATTCAGTAACAGATACTTCAGTAGATTTGAGGAAATGTAGGAGGAATTTCTCCTTTTTCTTGATAGTTGAGTACTGAGCTATTGTCTGAACCAAAAGGCTTTGTCACTTTAAAAAAAAGATGCTAATTTAGTTAATTGACCTTTTGTATGTATCAAAAGAAATGAGAAACAATTTTATATGAAAATGCCTTTCATAAATATACTTGCTTAAGTTCCAAAAATAGATTCAGGGGTCAGTTTTGATGATGCAACCAAACTATGATGCATTTTTAATGCATATATGCATTTATTTTTAATATCAATATATATAATTTTGAAATTAAATTTCAGTATTAATAATAAATTGTGTTTTAATACTTACTTAAAATACTAAACTATAGTTTGTGCATTTTCATGCAGTGTGGTGGTACAAGCTAAGATTTTTTTTCTCTCCACCTTTCTAACCATCCATTTGTATCATAACTGACAGCTATTATTCTTCAGTAATACCTCAGAATTTTTTTTCAGTCATATTCTCCATACTTGTGGGATGCAAGAGCAGTTTGACAGCTCAGGCAACTACAGAACAGTTGAGAAAATGGCATTGTATAATTTTATAAAAGGGAAAGACTGCCACCTACTGAATTCCTATTACTTCTCTTGTGAAGATTCAATTTTGTGTGAAAGAATTACCTATGGTTTATTCTGAGATAGTTTTCAACCGTCTAAGATTATTTTTGTATTTGGATAATTATTTATAATGTGATATTTTTATATTGAAAAGCTGAAGCCTTTAAATCACAGAGGATTGTAAAGTTCCAGTGTAATTCTAATATAATTTTCTTTTGACACTCAGAAATATTTCCTTATTTTTTCTAGATTTTGTCTGTATTTGCCCAAATCCTGTCATAGGAATATTTTTCCTCTGTAACGCATGCAATATATGATCTCAACTTCACTTTGAAAAACAAACAACAACAAAAAAAGTCAAAAAATGGGAACTCTACCACCCTGAGTTAATTATTTGTAGAATTGGAAGAACTTCCTTAATCATATTGAAATTCACATCTCAACCAGTGAACAGTCATCTAGGAAAATAGCAGGGGTGTATTGGTCTTTCAAATTGTTTCTTCTTTTCAGAAGTATGAAACATGTCATCCAACAGCAGTTTATGAATTTTTTTTTTTTCATTACACCAACAGTTGCCCCAGAAGATCCTAGCAGAAAGGTAGATGGTGATACCATTATTTTCTCACACGTGCAAGAAAGGTCAAGTGCTGTTTACCAGTGCAACGCTTCTAATGAATATGGATACTTGCTAGCAAACGCATTTGTGAATGTTCTGGGTAAGAAACAGATTTTATATTTTTCAGTTTTCTTGTGTATTCAGTTGTCTCCTGCTACTACACGGATTGCGTACTCAAACCTTGCTTTGAATCTTCAGTGGGAATGGACATATTTCCTGAGCCCTGTAAAAGGCAAGGGTATCCGTACCTTGGTTTTTGTAGTGTATTTCTGAATTTCACTTTCACTGTTCCCAAGTAAGAAAGATAGTTGTGAAAGCTGAGGAATACTTGGAATAAATTTTATCTCTGTTTATGTAAATCAAGCAAACAGGAGCATAAAAATAAGGCAGGAATTAATATTTCTTAAGTGATTATATTTCAGTACACTTTCATTGATTGTAAGGGTTTTGGATGTGTTAAATAGATGTTCTCTAAATTGCTATGGCAAGGGGACGTGATTATGCATCTGGAAGGCCTCCCAAGAATGTGTTCCTAGTTACGAGATACTGTGGCTTCTCTAATTCTTCTCACTGAATTTAACAAAGCTAGCAGCAAAATCCTAGGCAGAATGACTTCTAAAGACTCTCCTGTAGGAACTGGCAGATCTCTATGTTGAGAGACACTGTCTTTTACATAAAAGAACTCACTTTGGTTCCAGAGTCCCTTTTAAAATATGTAGGTGTTTCACAAAAAATACATCCTAGTTTCTGCCTGCAGGTTTGATTGGAATTCTATATTTCAGTCTGTTCCCAAGAGTTTCTCAAAGCGTACGCTGATTTAAATTTTCCAAATGAAGTCATTGCCTTTAGTGCCCATCCCTAATACTTGTAAACAGGAAAGAAGTATTTGTTTTTCACAAGCTAATTGTCCTACATTAACATTTGCTCAGGCTGCTGATGGTAGAACGTATTAAGGCCTAGACAGAGATCAGTAATCGCTTCAGAGAAGGATGTGAAGATGTAATTCTTTAGGCCATTCTTGATGTCTTGGTTCTTTGTATTTGCATATTTGTACCTATATCCAGATATCTTTGTCTTTTCAGCTGAGCCACCAAGAATTCTCACTCCTGCTAATAAGATGTATCAGGTCATTGCAGACAGTCCCGCCTTGCTAGACTGTGCTTATTTTGGTTCACCTAAGCCTGAAATCGAATGGTAAGCTCTTGTAGTTGTGCTTAAGTTATGTAAAAAGACCTGGTTTCTAAGGAAAAATACGTTTAAAGCTTTTAAACTATTTTTACTCTATTTACAGTGCAAAAATAGGGTATTTTTAAACATATGCTAATGTAAACTTACATATACTTCATGTAATGTTAAGTTATCCCTACAGAGTCAAGCTTAAATTTCATTATGCGATTCAGTCTGTATTTTCCAATGGGGAAGTCCCAGGTTTGCATTTTCTGATAATAAAATAAGTCAGAATTTACTTAAGATATTGGATAATGATACTGCTTTTTATATAAAGGTTCAAGGGAGTGAAAGGTAGCATCTTACGTGGAAATGAATATGTTTTCCATGATAATGGAACCTTGGAAATTCCGGTGGCTCAAAAGGATAGTACTGGTACATACACGTGTGTAGCAAGGAATGAATTAGGAAAGATACAAAATGAGGTGCATTTGGAAGTTAAAGGTAAGAAATGAATCACACTTTCATCGCAGGTTAGTGCAGAATTTCAGACTTTCTGCATATCTAACCTTACTGTTAAATTTCAGATCCAACAATGATAATTAAACAGCCAGAATACAAAGTGATTCAGAGATATGGCCAAGTTTCATTTGAGTGTATAATAAAACATGATTCTACCTTATTCGCAACGGTTATATGGTTGAAGGACAATGAAGAGTTGCCAGATGATGAAAGGTATGGACAAAATAATTTTCCTTTAATTTTTTAGTTTCTTTTTGTCTGCTCCTTTCCTGATATGTGAAAGGAACATCTTGACCTACTGACATTTGGCAAAGACGACTGATAAATGTAATCACTCTCCTGTATTTGGTGACTAAAGGACTTAGGCAGTGTGGTGAAAACATCAAGATAGAATTCAAAATAAAATGAGATGTAAAAAATTTTAATTGTGCACCTTGACTACGTACATCAATTTTAAGGAGAAGATAATTGGCATAGAGGCCAAAGGGATAATGGAAGGTTACAGTTTTAAAGTTTTGCCACATTAGGATAGTTACTGTGGGGAGATGGTCATGAGCAATGGAGAAAAGGTTAACGTAGCGTACGTTGCTGTCTAGTTATTTGCTGAAATACAGAGTTATATAGGATTTGATAATGTCTTATGCAAGTTTCTTCTAACAGTACCAGTTATTGAAAACATCGGTGGCTGAATCTATTGTATTTACAGGTTTCTAGTTGGTAAAGACAACTTGACCATTATGAATGTAACTGATAAAGATGATGGAACATACACTTGCATAGTTAATACCACACTGGACAGTGTCTCAGCAAGTGCTGTGCTTACTGTTGTTGGTAAGAATATTCTCAAACTTTATGATAGCTGAACTATGTTTAGTTACTGTTAAGTATGAAAACAGCAGTAGATGTAAAAAGAAAAGCACAAACATAATTTTGGTTTCTAGGCCAGGACAAAGGATATGTCACCTATTTGTAAATGTGTTTCAGTTTTTTAAGAATGTAGTCTTACCCTAAAGTTTGCCTTTGAATCAGCTGCTTTACAGAAGGGTCCAGTAGCTACAGGATGTGTTCAGTTTCATGCTGTATAGGTTTTTATGTGATCGCATCTGAGCTAACACAGTAGATTACGTGTTGCAGAGTGTTTGAACATAAACATGTTATCTGCAGGAATCTTTTTTGCAGCTAAATTATGCTTCAGAAAGACTGAGCATGCTTGGTTGTATGGCTTTTCAAGGGTTTTCATTTTAAATTAGTTCTCTCTGTTAAGCTTCTATGATTGCAGATTGTTGTAAAATATGTTACTTTGCCCCTTCTCCCAACTTGTAAGAAAGTTTTAAGTGGGTGTCCTGAATGATTCTTACCTGAGTTCAAGCTGAGATTCACGTCAAGTATGTTTGTGTTTTAAATTGTGTTGTGATCTTATGCCTATCCAGGAATGACGTATGCCAAGCATCTAGTACTCGTTTAAAAGTTTATCAGATTTCTTACTTTCTTTTTTTTTTCCATCTATCCTTATTAAAAAATGGATAAAATATTCAGTAATACTTTTATAACTTTTCAGTGAAAAAAAATCAATGTATTATTTAAAATCAACCATTTACTCTAAATAAGTTAACTTTTCTTTGTCTCTAATATACTCTTTACCTACCTACAATATTCTGTTTCTTTTGGCTACTAACTGTTTAAATCCTTTATATTAATGTTCTTTTCAGCTGCTCCCCCAACTCCAGCTATCATTTACGGTAAACTAATACGCAGTTCTCTTTCTACATCATCTGCCAGATATATTTCTCATTTGCTTATTGCAAAGTGCAACATCCTTTCTTTTTTCCCCTTTTTCCTGTGTTTGTGTGTGTGTGTGTGGTTTTATCCTATTTTGCCAACTGCTTCATTACTGGAGTACTGGACTTTGGAATTTTACAGTGCAGGCTGCTTTGTATTTTAGGCAATAAATATTTTCCAGAGGTAAATTTTTTTTAGTTGAGGTTGGTTACAGTGTGATAATGTTTTTCTCATAGAGAACACTGTAATGCAAATTAGTTATATAATAAATGAAAGATCTAAAAGGTAAATCCACCTGTTCGTTGAAACCTAATTCACTATCAAAGAACTTGCACGAACCAAATTATGGTGTGTTTTTACATTGCTTTTGATGATAGCTTTGTAGGCCTCGTGTACTTTATTTCATAGTTTGTCTTCATTTTACTTTACTCATATAATTGATAGGTCTGTATTGACCAGTTTGGTTTACGACTGATGAAATTGAAAGTAAGAATTTTAAAATTAAAGCTGAAATTCCCCCCAATAAATCTGTCAGTCAGGTACAGTCTTAAATTTTACAGCATACAGCCTTTAATTTGTTAGTATTTTTTCTGAATTTGGATCATAGAACGCAATATAATGTGCCTAAAACACTTTTAAGTATGAGCGACTTCATCACTTTTATGTGAATCGCGTTCAGTGAAATATATATATCAGCTTATATATTCTTAAATAAACCTACTCATTAGTCTAGATTTTTGTGTAAAAATCATATAATGAATTATTTTCAGAAATTTGGAATGGACAATTAAGTCGTTAGCATTATGAGTATATGTAACGCTGAACAGCTTGCTTGGAATTTCAGGATTTTTTTTAAACTATAGCAAAAAATAAATTGCAATTAGTCTCTATTTGATATATACATGTTTTGAACTCACAGGCAAAACATTTGTAGTGATCCTAGAAAAGCTTCTTTGATGTGAATGCTTCTTTATTTTCCATGTTTTATTGAATTAGTAACCACTGATTATCACTAGTTATCACTCACATATAAACTAAATAAGCATTTCATAATTCTTTGCATCTTATTACATTTTAATACCACACTGCAATCAGACATAGATAAAATCAGATGTAGGCTCTTATTAATGTATAGAACTTTCCAGATACATCAGTTCTCCATTTATGTCTGTTTTGTAACACTTGCATGCTAATTGTCATCAAGTCATGCTTACATAAGTGAGTAGATCTGCCCTGCTGTATTTGTGGAATACTTTTGATTAAAATGTAAGGATTTTTTCAAAGATGAAACTACATATTCTTTGCATTAATTTGATTTACAGCTCGGCCAAATCCACCCTTTGACTTGGAATTGACAGGTCAGCTCGAAAGAAGCGTTGAACTCTCATGGATACCAGGAGATGAAAATAACAGCCCCATTACAAGTATGTTTGTTTGTATCTCTTACATTACTTTAACAATGTTACCTCTGCTGTAGTCAGATTCCACAGAGCTCTGAGATAAATTTTGTGTGCAGCATGAGAGAATGCTAAATGCATTCTCTACAGTTGGCATTTATTTACATTAAAAAAAATTCACTGATTGTCCTCTACTGCACAGCCATCCAGAAAGACTTACATGCTGCCCTAAAAACCTGGGCGTTTGATTCAGAAACCTGAGCTAGTTAGCATGGAAATTGATACTGATGTGAGTTCCGTTTGATGAGGCCCAGTCTTACCAATATGTAGGGAGCAGACTTGTTCGTTAGTTGAGTAAAGGGTTACTCATACGTGCTTCTGAGGGAGAGAGCTACCATCATCTTGCATTAGCTATTCTGTAATTCCCATGAAACTGAGATAACATCAGTACCAATATTTTTAGGGAATCTCCATTTCTACTGATACGGAAGATTATTCTTCCTGAAAATATTAGGAATATAGTTTTTCTGTGGTTTTTTTTTTTTTTTTTTGTTTGGTTTTTTTTAGTCCAGACAGTTGAAGAAAGGCAGCATATCCATAATACAGAGTAAATAAAATTCTATAAACTTCTGATACAGGAAATTGATCCTAAATGCTATTATTCCTCCTAGTAGAACATGCTGAAAGATACTCTTGCTTATGTTGAACAGAGGATGGAAGGGGAAATTAGGACGAAGGAAGAAGGCTGTTTGTGTTTGTTTTCCAAAAAAAAATAGGATCAGAAAAATTTGTCAGGGCAACTTTTTCATTATGAGCAATTTCATGTATTTAATTATTTATGTGGTGTATTTTTGGTTAATACCTGCCACAAGCTACCGAGACCAGCGTACATTTGAAATGAACGGGTTAGGCTGACTTATGGACTGTTGCTCTCCAGGGTCCAAAGCTGATCAGTGTCAATGCTGAACACAAGCCATAGGGATCAGGCACCTGGAAAAGAAGCTTTGTAAACACAGAATTGCAGCTGTTTCAGAACCCATCAAAAGATAGTGATTGCATTTTGATGAAACACCAAGGGATCTTGCTGAAGTATTGCACTTTCAGACTTGTCTAATGTGTATCAACTAGTAATTTACTTTTCAAAATATAATATATAGAAATCTAATGTAAATATTTAAAATATTTTTTAAATTATGGCTTATTCATATACACTTGTATCAGTATTTTCAATTCTTTCCAGACCAGAAGGTACAAGCCTTGCCTTTCCATAGGAATGAGATCACACTGTTTCAAAAGAGATGATATTGGTTCATGTCAGAGGTTTTCTAGAAGTGAGCTATTGTGTGCACTCTGATATTGGAAATTGAACTCTTCTGACTAAATAATTATGGTTTTAATTATGATACAATTTATACTGTGGCATGGTCCTCTGAGAGCCTGCAAAATAAGGCATTTGCTTCACAACTAAGCCTATTGCTGCTGCTGCTATCACTTCAAAGTGCAGGTCAAACTCAAAGACTGAACTTAATTATGAGTGATCCCTTTACACAAGTAATGCGATTGATATGCTAGAACCTCTCTAAGAGCTCAAATAGATTTTTTTTTTTTTCTCTTGAAGTCTGCTATAGATTGTTCTGTTAGAATTGCAGGCAGAATGGTAGCTACTAGGGAAGCAAAGAGCCGTAGTGAAACCTTTGTTGGTGCTTTTTTGTTTTCTCACTTTTTCAACAAAGACTTTGGCCCAGAAAACATCCCATCCCAAGACCTTTATCTCTGGGCACACAACACCAGCTGTAACTCAGGCAGTAATTTGGAGGAAGTTCTCCCTCTTCCTTACTACTCAGGTCAGGATGAAATCTGCAAGCCTTAAGAAGTCTTACTACTACTTACCTATTTTACTTCCTGAACATCCTGGCTCCTCAAACTGTTGTGCATTATTTCTGTGTGGTGCTGTTAAGTATTCCGAAAGCAATTTCTCGATGCCTCTCAGAATTTCTTTAGTAGTGCAAATAGAATGTATTCTGAGTTATATTCTGGCTTCTTGTCCCCACCTATACATGAGATAGGTCAGAATTTTTGTTACGCAACACACTAACATTTGCTGCTTATGTAAATTTTGTATATCTAAACTTAAGAGTTTTATAAAATATACTCAGACTACACATTCTCCTCCCATTTACTCATTGTATCCTAACAATTCCTCTTAAGTGTTTCAAAATTTCTCTCTTATACCTAAGAGGAGGAAGCTTTTTTGGCTATTTCACAGCTGAAAAAAAAAATGTCCTTTTGTCTTTGAAAATATGATTTTCCTTTTGGACTTCTACAAACCTATTTATCCCCAAGGTTATGTACTCTGTAGGGTCTTCACAGTAATCATTGTAATGTTCACACAGAGAACTCTCAAGAACCTTAGCTTCTGATCATATGTTCCTTGACTTAATTTGAAGGTACCGAGAAGTACTCTCGAAAACCTTCCTCAAGTATTGGTTCTTGACTTTAAATAGTTCTTCGCTAAGCCAGTCTCCCTGAGGAAAATGGAAAACTCGGAGAGTTTTCATATTGCACAGATACTGCTTACTGTCAGCTTGATACAACTAAGACCAACATGTCAGCCAAATATGACTTTTACATCAGAATTCCAATCTTGTACGATTTCTTGCTGTGATCTTTCAAGGGTTCCTGTGACATTAAAATCCAGTTCCTGGGAGAGAGCCCTTACAATAACGGCTGTTACTTGACAGGCAGCTGCATTAGTGAGAGTACCGAGTAATAAAAGTCAGAACGTTTCTGTTGTAGTTCTACCCGGTCGGTACTTTTGAGACCATTATCGTTTTGCGTTCCGCTTTCTGTACTTACGTTTCAATTTCCATGATTTTTAAAGTCATTGATTGGATCACTCCTTTCTGATGAACTCGTTCGGAAATGCTGACGCTGATCAAGGAGGGTGTTGCAAATTTTGACATAAAGTTGGATTCTGTTCCTGTTTACAGCCTTTGTGATTGAATATGAAGATGGGCTGCATGAACCAGGGGTCTGGCATTACCAGACGGAAGTTCCTGGAACTCAGACAACAATACAGTTGAAGTTGTCTCCGTACGTCAACTACTCATTCCGTGTGATAGCTGTCAATGAGATTGGCAGAAGTCAGCCAAGTGAACCATCTGAGCAGTACCTGACAAAATCTGCAAGTAAATAACTATTCCCGCTTTCCAGTGATTGGCTCGTACTATGAGTGCTGTTGAATATGCTTACGGCGCAAACAGCATTCTCATTCATGTGTAAATATTTTATTTTTAGACCCTGATGAAAATCCTTCTAATGTACAAGGGATAGGCTCAGAACCTGATAATTTGGTGATAACATGGGAGGTAAGTTTGGGTTTTTTGAGTTTTCATTTGTTTGTTTTCAGGTCTGTGAGTAGAATTGTTTTAGTGAAACAATGATCTAACTGTGAGCAGGTTATGAGAATACCAGATGTGTTGATTGCTTAAAACATTCTTTACAGAGTAAAATCCAGACGTTTTTCCATCCTCATTTTCAGGGAAAAGCTGCATGCATTATGAAAAAAAAAATATTTAAGGTGCCATATTTTCCTTGAGTGATTTCTCAAGATTAGTCATTAATTTGTTAATACAGGATGTTTTGCTGCCAGTTTAGGAGAACTTAAGTATGTAAAGTGTGTTTTTTCTCAAGTAGAGTCTTATTTTTAGAATGAATTGTAATGTCAATCCTAATTCTACCCTCAACTTCTGTGATGAACTAAATTGTTACGCACTCTTCCACTAAAAAACTTTTGTGGAAAAATTTTTTCTCTCTGAGCTCCTGTTACAAGGGCAAAGGCTTAAAAGAGAGAGCCATGTAAAACTGATTTCCCATCCCCAGCAAGAAATGTTGCCTAGGGAACACTGTAGGGAGTTGGTGTAAGTTAGTTTTTCTCTCCTCTGCTTTCTAAGCAATACCTGAAAACAAAATCTGGGTACAGTGTATGGTTGCATGCGAATTAGCCAGTGTGACCGTTCACTGTCATTTTTGCTAAAGAATTAAAAGCATCTGAACTGACCTCCTGTAAAAGCTAAAATACACAGCTTGGAAATGTCAGCAGTGCTTCTCTGTCACGAAACAGAGTGGTAAATTTTCAGTAAAATTCTAAAGAATCAGTGTATTTCCTCTGTGACTTCGCATTTTTCAGATGCTTCAGAATATGTGTAAACCAATTTCATTTCCTCTTTTCATTTCAGTCTTTAACAGGTTTTCAGTCTAACGGACCAGGGCTTCAGTACAAAGTCAGCTGGCGTCAGAAAGATGTTGATGATGAATGGACATCTGTTATAGTTGCAAATGTATCTAAATACATTGTGTCTGGAACACCAACCTTTGTTCCCTATGAAATAAAAGTACAAGCTTTAAATGACCTGGGATATGCACCGGAGCCATCAGAGGTGATTGGACATTCAGGGGAGGACTGTAAGTTTTGATGTTTGACTCAATTGTACTAGTGAAAAGCAACTAAATATGTAAACTAAATGGGTATATAAAATACTGAAATACCGATAAGGAGGACAGTAGTTATTTTTTAATTAAAATTAAGCAATTTGGAGATAATAAGGCTCCGTAATACTAGCAGTATTAATCCTGAGGTCAGCTTTTTAACATAGGAACGTGGGGGAGGGGAGTGAGCGGGGGTGCGGTGCTTATTGCTGACTGGGGTTAAGCCACAGATGTTCCTGTGGTGTCTCATCCTAACTAGGCACTTGTTGCATCCTTTCCACACAGTGCCGATGGTTGCTCCAGGCAACGTCCAGGTGCATGTGGTTAACAGCACGTTGGCAAAGGTGCACTGGGACCCAGTTCCACTAAAAAGTGTCCGAGGACACCTTCAAGGGTATAAAGTAAGTACAGTCAAAAGCTTGCTGTTCCTTGTTTACTAACATAGGTCACATGACGCTGCATCCAGATTGAAGTAACTGACATATAAGAGGACTCTTGCTTTTCAGTGAGCTCACCTTTGCTGACAAGAGCCACAACATTGGTACAAATCCATTTGGAGTTCAGCAGCGTTATAGCACTAGCCTCATGTGACACTGTCCTTGAAAAAAACGGGATGTGTTTGCACATGTTATATAGATTAAAAAAATTGTAATAGATTTACAGATCTTAATCCAAAAGGGTATTTAGAGGATGAGAAAAAACAGCTTCTGTACGAGTCTCTTCCAGATCCTAATGCTAAGATTACTCATCTTCTGCCATAAATGATTTATCACATCTTTACAACTTGGGGGGCGCAGGAAAAAGTTCAGTTTAACAGCTAAATTTATGGAGCTAGGAAACGGCAGAAGACTTGGAGTGTACATGTACTGAAGGAAGCTTAGTGTAAGATGATGCGCTGGCTGTGATAGCTGAGAAGGCTGTGTTGGAGACCGAAGACTGTGAGGAATAGAGAATGGGATACAGAGGACTTGAAGGTTAGAAACTGGGGCAACTGGTGTCCCTGGAGAACATGGAAAATCTGATGGCAAAAGTTGCTTCAGACGTTGCACTAGAAACCCACCAGGAGAAACTGAAGAGTGGAAGCTGCAGAAGCATGGTAGACTGGTTGTGCAGGGAAGAGTGGAATGAGAGGATATACTGACTTCCTGTGCAACAGTAGAAGAAAATAAAAAATAATTACTTTTCTGGCCCTCTGCAAGTGTACTAATAAATATATGCTAACAAAACAGACTGGTTACACAGCCTGAACTAGGTTACTTCCCAAGACAGACTAAATTAAACTACTTCCGTTTGAATGAAAGGAGGAAAAAGAAGTATTTGAAAAAGGAAGAGAGTAAAAACTATTTGGAGGAGAATAAATGTACATCATACTTATAAAATGGAGGACTACAGCATTCAAGAGCATTGAAACCAAACTTCAGTGTGTTACAGCTGGCTACCACATAAATGTCAGTTCCAGGTGTATGGATGTCACTGACCTGACACAAAATCCCACCGTCCAGAGAGACTTTAGCGAGTTCTGTACGAGCTGGCATAAGTAGTTAGTAGTGTGTGCTTTGCCCTAGATCATAAACTCACCTCAGAAACAGGACGTATTAGTCTGCTATATGTTTATCTGTTAGATGACAGTCTTGTATCATCCTGATGCTTCACACACAAAAGGACAACCAAAAAAAAATAGTCCGTTATGTGAGGAATAAAGAGTTAGAATTTAGTGAAGTTAATGCTAATGATTAATCCAGTTACAGCAGTGCTAATGCTCATAGTCCAAATCATCAGATTTCTGTTACGGGTCGTTAAAAATACAAAAATCCCTATAGACACAAACATCTGCCCATACATCAGGTGTTCTCACCCCTCGAAGGCGCGGTTACAGTGAGTTGTCACCATCCCAAGTTCAGGTGGAGATCTCTCTTTCCACAGACTTGGAGTCTCTGAGGGTTACTTTCTGTGGATGGGTTGTGCACTTTCCTCTGCAGTTGGTCCAGGGATAGTAATGCCATGATTACTGCTGTTTGGTGTACCGTTCCTTCTCTGTACACAGGGTGATGTTTTTTCTGTGGTGGTGAGAACCACACAATTACACAAAGCGAAGGAGAAGTGATGCTAAAATAAGTTAGTCAATACAAGCTCAAGACCACAGGATTGACAACAGACCCTGACCACTGAGTATTTTTGCTCTCATGGCTAGGACAAATGAGACAGTGGCATGTCCTTGAGTAAGTTGCAGATGCAGCAGAAGTTTCTTAATTACTTTTTGCGGATACAGCTAAATCAAGCTAAAACAGGCATGACAAGTCCTAAGACCTAGGGGATACTTACTGTTATAAAGCTTTCTCTGAATTCAAGCTGAAAACTTCTCATGGATGCCAAGTGCTCTTCAAGTGTCGTAATTATTGACACAGCTTACAAAGCACATGCCTTTCTCCTTTTACCTACGTACGTGAAATCCTACTAGCAAACTCAGGCTTTCCTAATTAATAAAATTATTTCAGACGTAGCCCAATATGCAGTGTTGCGTTAGGGATGCATTTCTAAACAAAGACAGGGGTATTTATGTAAACAGTCACGTCATAAAGAGAAGTGTATGAACCAAGCAGGAAAACATCTAATTAGCAGCAGCCTACAGCACGTCACTCATATTTTACTCATGTATTAATCTAGCTATTACTTGATGTATTGTGGTATTATAAAGCGTTTCAAGCATAAGAAGACATTTTAAAAGGAATTCTTGACACTGTTGATTTGGCATTTTTTTCCTGTTATCCAATACAGTATCTGAAAAATGTGACACAGTCTCTTTTACTATCATATTTCTCTTCCAAATCACTGCTTATCAACCCAAGCTTATTAAAGCTTTGTTTTAATTTCAGCCTGGCTAGTGACAAGTGATGACCCAACTAAAATAATGCGCATTGTGAAGAGTTACTTGCTAACAATTCTTAAAATATCGTGAACCGTACCTGATGAGTTTCAGTACTAATAGTACCAACACTTCCAGCTTTTGTTGGCTTGTAAATAGCTTTCTGCACTAGTTGGTAGGATGAGAGCTACAGGATGACAGCTGGCAGTGTTGAAAAACATTAACTGGAGCCATGTAAAACCCAGCGGGACTGAGCAGTGATTAGAGTGAAGTGGCACGTTAGCAGTAGAAAGCTGGTGTTGGTGTAACACTGCTTTGTAAGCTCTCTAGTTGGGCTCTGTAAGTCTGAACAGTTCCCTCTTTTGAATTCATATGTTAAATCCCAGCTTCCTTAATTAAAGAGGTGTTTTGCAGTTGGCTTAAATGGAACCAAAATTTTACCCTGTCAGTTGGAGTGTGTGATCATACACGCATGAAAATTACGCTGTGAAAAGTGAACATTGATGTATTTGAAGGTGACAATCCTAGGAGTAATGCAAGTCTTAATAGGGTCAACTGTTAATATCTTTCCACATATCATCGTAGAGTAAAGAGCGTGAAGTGGAGCGAATTACCTCTGAGGCTCATCAGTAGTTTCTTAGAAACTCAATCAGCAAAATGGACACCAGAATCAGTTTCTAGGTCTGATCTAACTGTCACGTAAATGGAGGAATAGTCTTCCTGTCCCTACGTGGAGATCATTCCATGACTGCAACCTCAGAGTCCTTTCAGAATGTGTGTGTTTTTCTAGCCCAGACAAATATTTTTGTATGTTTCCCATTTAAAAATACCTACTTGGCTTCCACATCACAGGGAATCGCATGGTCAGGTGTGTGAGAAGGTGGCAGAGTGCAGGTCTGCTTTAGAAGCTGTGTAGATACATTATCCATTCCTGCAGTAAGATGAATGAGTCCTGCCTCTCAGATGGACTTGCTGACATGAGAACCATCACGTACTAGTGCAGTTCCACACCAGAACTTGTGTCAAACTGGCTTTGAGCATTAGCAGGACTGGCAGCTGATAGACCTCACCCAGTTGTGTAGACGTGGCTGTTTCTGGAGCAGGAAAGGTCTATGTTTTGTCTTACCTGAGCTTATTAAAACCGCAGTTATTCCTACCTGCAATTTATGGATAGTCATGGAAAAAGCTTAAGAGTTTGTAAAATCAGAACACCTAAACACTCACTGTAGATTTTCTTTTGTCTTTAGGTTTACTACTGGAAAGTGCAGAGTCTGTCCAGAAGGAGCAGGCGGCATGTAGAGAAAAAGATCTTGACTTTCAGGGGAAACAAGACCTTTGGAATGTTGCCAGGCCTGGAGCCCTACAGTTCTTACAAGCTGAACGTCAGAGTTGTTAATGGTAAAGGAGAAGGACCAGCAAGCCCAGACAAAGTGTTTAAGACCCCCGAAGGAGGTATGAAATCAGAAAGCTAGAGAATAAACTTAAATGTGGTATATTCAGAAACAGAACATGAAGGGTGTAATTCCTGAATTTGCATCTTGGACATCATAAAATAATAATCTGGCTCAATAAAGTAATATCCTTCAAACAGTTCATTAATTATTTTTAAGTTAATGTACTTTGTATTTACGGTATACTCTTCTTAAAAGTTCCTAGCTCACCCTCCTTTTTGAAGATTACTAACCCAACGCTGGACTCTCTGACTCTGGAGTGGGGTTCACCTACCCATCCAAACGGTGTCTTGATATCATATATACTGAAGTTTCAGCCAAGTAAGTTAACCATGAATATATAATTTGTAACTTATACAGTATGTGTACCAAATAGCAACCCATTTATTAAGAAAAAAATACGCTAAATTTGTAATGTACAGATGATGTGATTACGTTGTAGATGTCAAGTTTGAAAAAGATAAACCTATTTGGCAATATAGATGACTGTTTGGGAAACTTCACTTGTTAAGTAGAAGGGCAGCGTTTTTCCATTACTTTTATTTCTTCAAAGCATGATTCACAGAAAAATGGAGGTGAGGTCCCACATATAACTGGCAGCTGTGTTAAAGCAAGATACTGCTACTTACAAATCCTATATTTTAACTGCAGAGAAAGTACCACTAGAAGTAGATCTAAATGCATCCAATTATATTGTTACCTGCTTCTTCAATTTTCATAGTATTTTAATTTAAAAATTAAAAACTCATAAATGTGCCATTTACTCATGAGAGCTGTAAATCACTTCCTTAGGATCCCTGTGTCACTGCTCACATGCCCAGAAATCCGTCAGTAGTGACACTGGAAATAAAGAAATTCATGTGCATGGAACAGGTTCAGGGAGTTTTTCTTCCAGTTACCAACTTCCACTGGTACTTGGCATTAGATGTGAGTCACTTCAGGGATTTTTTTTTTCCTAAGCATACTGAATTTATCATGAGGCAGCTAGTATAGAGTTTCAGAATTTTGTAATGATCAGCGTTTCAAGTGTGTGTAAGTTCAGACAATGATGAGATGTGGACTCGGTTGCCTCGGGTTCAGATACTTGTGAGAATGGAACTTGAATTAAAAAACAATTGAAGGTATTTCCTATCTCCCTGTTGAATTCTAGCCCCTTGTATAGATCCCTTTTACACAAATGTGACTTTCTTTTGAAACTGTAGGTTATCATCCATATAACCTCAAATGGACAGTGCAGCAGTCAAATGAAACAAATACAAACAAAAAAGCCTGCTTTAACACAGTGATAATGTAGGTGATTTTCCTAACTACCTCTTTTTTTTTTTTTTTGTCTTGCAACAACAGTTAACAACACACATGAATTGGGTCCCTTGGTAGAGATAAGAATTCCTGCCAACGAGAGCAGCTTGATATTAAAAAATTTAAATTACAGCACACGGTACAAGTTTTATTTTAATGCACAAACTTCAGTTGGATCAGGAAGTCAGATAACAGAGGAAGCAGTAACAGTTATGGATGAAGGTAAGATGGGTATGTATAAAGAAAACCCATTGAGTTTAAAAGCCACTACAGATTTTATTAAAAATACTACTACTCCTTCCTTCCATTAAGGAAATAGCCCCTAGTAAAATTTTCTATAAGGCTTTCTTAACTGTATTATACACTAATAAAGGATTTTGAATAGGTTTTAAGAAAAGATGTGCAAAGTTTTTCTACTGTATCGGAAGCCCCATCAGAGGTGTAAAGCCACTCTTTTTGCCATAACCTTACAAGTGCTAGGACCTGGGCTTTTCTGGGCTTCCTCCATTCACCTGTTCTGCCTCATTGACCTTCTTTGGTCACAGAGAACAACACTGAGATGATGCAGCTTTATGGCTAGAGCAAATTGTTTCTCTTTTAAAATGTGCAACAGCTTCTGTGAGGTCTCAAATTTTTTACAGAGCTGGCAAAAACTGTAACTGTAATATTTAAATATTCTCAAGTATGTTGTTCAATCCTCTCACTCTTGATTTTTACATTTATAGCCATTCTAGATCTCTGATTTTGGCAGTTCGTTTGTTGAACATGTTATTTAAATATGAAAGCTGAATAAAATAAGAGTAGTTAAAGCAAAGGGGAAATTTGGGGGGAACGACTGTTAGGGTTTTGCACATTTTAATATTGAAAGTCTATTTTGATACCATTTTTTCATGTATTTTTATGCTTAGTAAAATTATAGTTTATTGGAATTGCCATAGATGAGTTGGTAGGCAATGCCATTTCTCTAATACTAAGGTTGCATATGAACTACATGTATTTTAAATCATGAATCTTGACAAGCATGAGCAATAGAATTTTGTAAATGCATGTGTATTAATTTTTGTCTTGTAAAAGTCTGTCAGTGTTCAGCGTAAGTGGATTGTTTCTAATTCGTTTGAATTAATACATTTTATCTAGTCCGCATGCTTTTGTGGTTTATAATGAAATTATACATGTATGTTCCCTTTGGTGTTGTATCTAATCATATAGTGTTCCTGTTCTTGTTTTCCTCCATGAAAGCTGGTATTCTCCATCCTGCTGTAGGTGCAGGCAAAGGTAAAATGAAACTGCATGATTTCTTAATGTGTGGATTTTGCAGTGTTGCAAAGGGGGAGATTACAGTGGTAAGGACAGAAAGACTACTACACGTTGCTATACAGAGTATTAATCTGTGCTGGAAGAAAACATTTGTGGGTTTTGGTTTTTAGATATTTTTTTTTAAATTATTTATTTTTAAAAGAAATCCAGAATGCTTATTAATACCTTTCATCTGTTTATTTTGCCACAGAGTGCCGGGGGAATCTATTAGCTTTGCTTCAGCAAAGTCTAATTATTTCTGAACATTTAACAGATGTATGTCACTGTCATAAATATTCAAGATCCAGGTGCACTAGCACTGATTAGCTGGAGTAGGAAAAGCAGCATTTTTTCAAAGGAGATTTTTTTTTACTGCCTATGCTGTGTGCATTTTTTGTTTTAAAGAAGTGGGTGCGTTCTTGTTCTCACTGCTGATTACTGCCACCCATTTGATCAGATTTATTTCATCTGGGAGCCAACTGTGTACAGGAGACGGGACAGTGACAATACCCTCTGTATATTTCTCAGTTCGAGTATCAGATTGGATATACGGGCAAATGGCTTCCTGATGTCTTAAGTGCTCACTCAAGATCTGTGAACCTGAGGGGATGTTCCCATTAGGGGAATGGCTCATCTTCCATATTCTTCAATTCAGTAATATTTAGTTAGTGATGGTGCAGTTCTTCTGTCAAACTAGGTGTTCTTCACATATTTGCACATAGTTTTTATGAATTTTGATACCTTCACTGTCATAGAATTACAGAGTCATAGAATGGTTTGGGTTGGAAGGGACCTTTAAAGACCATCTAGTTCCACCCCCCCTGCCATGGGCAGGGACACCTTCCACTAGACCAGGTTGCTCAAAGGCACATCCAGCCTGGCCTTGAACCCTTCCAGGGATGGGGCATCCACAGCTTCTCTGGGAAACCTGTTCCAGTGCCTCACCACCCTCTCCGTGAAGACTTTCTTCCTGATATCTAATCTAAACCTCCCTGCTTTCAATTTAAACCTGTTACCCTTTGTCCTGTCACTACAGACCCTTGTAAAAAGTCCCCCCCCAGCTTCCTTGTAGGCCCCTTTCAGTTACTGGAAGGCTGTCAGAAGCAAATATTGTCCTGAGGAGCGTGAGATAGATGTTCTCGATGCATATCTGTTATTCTATCAAAGTTGTCATTAACACTAATGAACATCTGTGCTTCAGATTCTTAGACAATAAACATCCCAAATCAAACTCTGTACATTAAATACCCAACAGTTTTTACCAACTTCGAAAAGAGCACAAATTGGTTTACATATGTTTTCTTTCCTTTTGATGATCACATATTTTGAATGCTAATAGCCATAAAAAAGAACTTCATTCACTGTGGAATAACTCGGACTACAAATATATATGTATGCCTGCATTTGTGCATGTATAATATATATGTGTGTATGTATAGTATATTCCAATATCAGTTGCATTTCTGGTAAGTGAATGGAGTTGTGGATTTATTTTAATGACAAGTCTTTCTTAGTGTTTTTTAGTGTAGCTGTAGCTAAGAAGGCAGCACAGAGTGGAACAATCAAACTGGCTTGTAGTCCTGGGCAGTAACAGCAGAAATGCAAATTAGGTTCTCATTATTTATAGCTCACTATAAAAACTCATGTGAGGAAAAATGGATTCTCTGTGTGAAACTGGGGTCTAATTATAGCTGTACCACAGTCTGTGGCTAGCAGAAAGCATCTTATTTGTAAGGTCAGCTGGAGCAGCTCACATTTCAGAGCTGTCATCTCAGATTCTCTGAAAACTAAGCAGATGTCTTCGTTTGGTTCCGTGCCGTTTATGGTTTCAAAGTTTCCACGTATTCCTGTAGCATCTAGCTCTTACAATTGCAAAGAAAACTTTGGAACTGCAAATGGGACGGAGCTAAAGCCATGACATCTGTTTGGACATCTGAGTTGCTGCGGGCCCGAGATGAATGCTGTCAGTGGCTACTTGCACTAGCGTGTTAACTGCTTCACCACTGGTGTGGGAGCGTGGGGAAGGAAAAGGAGGATTGTATTATCCAGATCGAGTGCCAAATTATTTGGTCTCATGAGTGGGTGGATTTGGAAGATAGAAATGCTCAGCCCACTCAAGAAGCCGTACCCAGCAGTGAATTTTTATTCCTCCATTAAGTGCAGGAGGGCCTGTATATGTATATACAGTTCTGACTAATGTGGACCCAAAGCTATACAAGGGAGAAAGTGAAATTTAGGTATTCCCAACCTTTTTGTGATCTATCAAAACCATTTTTTTTGCTTTGAAGGGCAGAACTTACCAGAAATATGTAATTATCCTTTCTCTTTCAATTTGAGCGCATTCACCTTGGAAATTAAGATGACAACAGGTCCCAGATTGAGCCAGCCCAAATTGCACTGAAATGTCTGTACTGGGTGTCTCCCACTGGCTACCCCTGCCCCCGCTGACCGGCAGCTTGGCCAGTTAGAAACGTCAGACACGAGGTCCTGGGGGAGTTCAGATCAGTTAAACCCGGGCGAGCTGTGCCACTTGGGACATATTTCACTTCTCGGGGTGAAAGTGTGGAATAAAGTGCAGAGGGAAATACTGCTGTGGTAAATCTGAGAATCCTAGAGGGTCTCAGTATTTTTAATACGGTTCTGAAACACATTCCCTGTCTCCTGGCACCACGTGTCTTTTGCCATCTTTTCAGGCATCTTTATTGCTTTAAAAGCAACGAAAGTAACCACAATCTGCTTACTGCTGCGTTTGACACTTAATATTTGTCCCAACTGAGGTTGTCTGATTAAAATGACCATACTGGTCTTAAGTAATGATGTCTGCTATATTCTACACCAGCAAATAGAGAAGTAAATTTTGTGCATTTTTCCCATAAGTTAAAATAACAATCTTAGATGAAAACATGAAATATGAGGTGAAGGCTAAGGGATTTAGACAAAGGAATATTTTGTTTGTTTGTTTTCTGTAGCTTGAATAGAACGTAGTAGCTCTATTCAAATTGGGGACAATATAAGAAGGAAATTACTGTCTCCCTGTCATGTGGGCACCATCCTAATGAAAAAAGTTCTTTAGACAAACAGTGCCATTGCATCAAATAGCAGAAATGCGATGGATCTTGTCAAATTACAAGAACTGAGGGTTTTTTTTCTTCTCTAAGAGCATCTTAACAGCCAGATCCATGTATTTCTCTCACAAGCCCACACAGGTAAATGAGGAGACTCGTTATTTTCCGAGATGGACAAGCTATCCTGTTATGGTTGATACTCCTATGTGCCTTGCACTATCTTTCTTCCTTCCTAATGCTGTGATGTTACGAATGACTGAAATTTGATGCAATTATGGTACTAATACCAAAAAATTATTGATTTTTTTCTTAGCAACCTGTATTCTGTGTCTAAAAACTGCCTAGGTAAAACCTACCTTCTTACAGCCAGTATTAGGTGAGCAGTGTGCGTTGATGCTGCCATTTATGTAGTGACATCCAACAATGGGCATGAGGTAACGGAGATGTAAGAAAAACTGGGGAATAAGAAGCTGATGTGGTATGACATAGTTATACTGGCAGCTGCAGGGTGACTCGGGTGATCGCTGGAGTCCAGTCTCTCCTACCCTTTTCCATCAGATGTTTTAAATAACTGGTCTATAGAGGAAGGAAGAGAATACAGCTTTCCCCAGTGGTAGAAATGAAAGTTGAGTCACAGGGGCTTGTTCCCGTGTCCATTGTAAGCTGAAGCGTGGGGTGTCATGACATGTCAGTCTCATTTCAGATGCCGCCTTGTTTCACTTTTCAGTTTATTCTTATTTTAGTCAGTATTTTTATTTGAAAGGCCAGTCCTGCTCACGCAGGCACTGGTAACTGGCAGTCCCGGCCTGCAATGCAAGGGAGCTAATGCTTTCTGTCAGTCTGGGCTGCCTGCTTCATGCAAACTTCACACCTCGGCTATCACTGACAGAAACACCTTTGTTGAAAGGGAGGAAAAACAAGTAGTCTAGCTTCTGGGTTTCAATCTATTCCTTTTTTCTGACTGAATCTCCAGTATGTAGCGCTTCACTGTAGGCTAGAAATCTCTCAGCTGAGTCCGTATCTCTGATCTCTTCGTGGAAGACAGGAACATCTCGATTTTCTATGTTCCGTACACAATGCTGTTCTTTAAATCATTTTCCCTGCCCACCATCTGTTTTCCCTCCCTCTTTGAATCATTTCACATAATGTGTCTACATTTTTTGCTAACAAGTTCAAGCTGCTTTTTCTTTTCAAGTTGATTATAGTGTTTTTCTACTGCTGCTTCAGCCATTCTCTCCCTGTGGGCTTTTCCATGATAGAGCTTTGTGATTCTTTCACTACAGCCTGCTACACAGAACCTCTGCTTTGTCCTCTTTTTAAACTGGGAACAATGATCATGCTTTGCATGCGAGACCAGAGCAAACGTTGCTTATTGCCGTGCAGGAATGGCTGCAAATACCTTTCGCTTCATAGATGTCACGCAGAATCCACACCACGCTAAATGCTTACCAGTGCAACGGTTTCCTGTATTTCTTCTTTGTCTTCCGCATTTCTTGTGCGACAGGAATGCTCTTGCAGTGGCCTAAATAGTCTTAGAAGTGACTAATGCCCACCTCTCGCTGACAGAAGTGGAATTCACTCCTACTGTTATGCTGAGGCTTGTACTCCGTACTGTAAAATTTGAAGGTTAAAAAGCAAACAAAAGCGAAATCCTTCACAGTGTCTTGCAGGCTCTGGCAGGATCCGTTACCTTTTTCCTTCACTTTTTTTTGTGGGAGGTGTGGGGTTTTTCCCTTTGAAATTATTTGTCTTCATATATGCATTTTCCCTAATTGTCTGTGACACACTGCTTTGCGGGTTTTTTCCATTGGATGTTAACCTTCAAATGTGTCTTTGTCACTTAACTGCCATATTTTTCCTGGCAATCAGGTGAATCCCATGAAAACTCCTAAAGTTTAGTCTCTTTAGGGATTATTTAATTTCTTATTCTGCTGAAATAAATCTGGAGAGGGAGTACCTATTCTGTAGTTAAAATCAGTTCATATGTCATGTCAGGTCTCATTAAATCCTGCAAAAAAAGTCTAACTCTGTTTTTGGAGGAACCGTGTTCCTGGAAGACTGGATGAACTACAACTCTTCCAAAAACCCCACTAAAAAGGCATGGGAATTAATTTGTAAAGGAAGGAAAATTTTACTTGGAGCCTAGGCCTCTTTCTCATCAATTGGGAAATGCTTTTATACTTTTGTACTTCGCTACAGGAATGAAACCATACTCGGAAGTGCCAGCTACCTTTTGCATCGCATCAGAGCATGAATAAAGGGCTTAATTTACTGGAGGTGGCTGAGTAAGAGTCGGCCTGTATGAAAACTGTAACTTACAGTCCATTCCCATCAGTTCCAGAGCGACGCTTTTGTCAGCGCGGTCGCGCAGCCTCGTGCGTGGTTACAGACCAGGAGAACACAGTACTGAAAAACCCCTGCTCCCTGAGACAAAGCTTTCTGCCCCCCTTTTTACCAACTGGCGCTTGCACACGCTGGGCGTTCCTGCCAGCTGACAAGTACACATTCTGCCCTTGTGAACAGTGCTGGGAAACATACCGAAGAACTAAGGCTAATTATCATGAGAGGTGTGCTGATGGAGAAGACAAGAGTCTGGGTAGATTTGAGACAAGCTTTAAATGTTGCAACCGCTTCGACTCCAGGCTTTCATCACCTCGGGATCCATCCGCCGTCTTTTGTCGTCGTGTGTGCCTGTTAATGTTGCAAATATGGCACGTTTAACAGACTTCACTAAAACTTGCCAGGCCTGCTGGAAAATTAGACCAAGCAGTTGTGAAAAAGGGGAAGAATTACAAAAATGATGTTTTTGAAAATAAACATCCTGCTGA